GGTATTCTGATTCAATGCTGATCTTACTAGTACACTGTTCAGATCTGTGGTGAAAACTCATATAAGTTAATATTTCCCTCCCCACTGGTTCATATGGAAGAAAAGAAGTTCACATATCAATGTGTCTAGAGAACAGGAAGAAAGCAAAAATAAGGATTGAATGCCACATTTTACTACTTGGCAAGATATAATAAACCCCTTAAATTTGTATTCCATACTCATTTCTCCTAACTTGTATGTATTCATCATATTACAAAAATGATTACCAGGTACTCTCTGTTCTTATTTTCCACGTTTTCAATCAAGTATCCCCATGTAAAACTCTGAGACCTTTAGTTATAATGCTTTACTGTGGGAATTATATTTTTTGCTTTCCAACTTCATTCTGACTTAAGTTATGAAGTGTTTCCTGTTTGAAGAGGAGAGTCCCACAGGACAAGAGAGATGAGGAAGGCCCATAGGTTGTAAACAATGGAGGTAGAGTGCTTGACTGGGGCACTTGGGTTTTTGAGGTTATGGTCTCTGGTACTAAACAAACCCAGCCCCTTGACTCCCCCCATTTACCCCTACTTGGAAGTCTTGATGCCTATTAAGCTCCTCATGTATAAGCATTTCACATTTGAGATATTTTACCTGTTAGTAAGGTTAATACTTGGAAAGTTATATTTTCCAGAAAGGAGAAAATGTTATAGTCACGGTGTCATTTTAAAAGGTAAGATCGGAAAAAGGTAACCTGTTTATTTCCAAGTACAGAAAAGGGGTAGAACATAGACTGGCGTGATCTTTAATTCATTATTCTCTTTCAAGAGCCAAAATGGTTTATTGCAGTAAAAAATTATGTAATAAAACATTTCCTGCTCACTAGGCCCCTGTAGCAATGAAAGTATCCTTAAAAGAGAATCAAAGAAGTGATGCAACAAGAAGCATTTTTATTTACTTTTTTTAATTTGTTTATTTTGTTATTGAGAATATACACAGCAAAACATACATGAATTCAACAGCTTCTACATGTACAATTCAGTGACATTGATTACATTCTTCAAGTTGTGCAACCACTCTCACCCTCCTTTCCTCAGTTGTTCCTCCCCCATTAACATAAACTTACTGTCTCTTAAGGTTCCTATCTAGTCTTTTGAGTTGCTGTTGTCAATTTGATCCAACGTAGATAGTTCTTAAAAGAGGACAATGCTCAGGCAGACATTCTTTACTGGATAAGCTAAACTGTTGTTTGGTTTTAAGAAGACTTCAGGAGATATTTTTTGTTTATGGTTTAAAGATTATCACAAGACAATAGTTTCAGGGCTCCAAGAAAGCCTCCATGGCTCCAGAAAATCTGGATTCCATGAGAATTTGAAACTTTGTTCTACATTTCTCCCTTTTGATCATAATTCTTCTATAGAACCTTTGATCAAAATGATCAGTAATGGTAACCAGGCACCATCCAGTTCCTCTGGTCTCATGGCAAAAGAGGCAGTTGTTCATGGAGGCAATTAGGCACACATTCCATTTCCTCCTCCTATTCCTGACTTTCCTTCTTCCTCTGTTGTTCCAGGTGAAAGAGACCAATTGTTGTGTCTTGGATGGATGCTTGCAAGGTTTTAAGACCCTAGGAACTATGCAACAAACTAGGAGGTAGAACAGAAACACTAAACACATTATTAGGCCAATGAACTGGGATGTCCCGTGAAACCATGACCCTAAACCTCCAAACCAAGGAACCAAATCCCATGAGGTGTTTAGTTGTACATAAGCAGCCTCAACAGCTACTCTTTTTTGTTGTTGCTGTAAATATGTTTATCACACAACTTTTCCAATTCAACTTTTTATAGGTGTACAACTTATTGACAGCACTTAAAATATTCATTTTTCTGTCAGTGTAAATTGAAACTCAGTACTCCATAAACAATAATCCCCCCTTTTCCCCTCCCTCCCGCCCCTGGTAACCACTAATAAGCTTTTATCTCTATGTATTTCTCATTTCTTGTCTTTTTATATTAAGGAGGTCATACAATATTTGTCCTTTTGTGATTATTTCACTCAGCATAATGTCACCAAGCTCTGTCCATACCTAGCATGTATCAAGACTTCATTTCTCCTACTGGCTGAATAGTATTCCATTGTATGTATATACCATATTTTGCTTATCCACTCATCTGTTGATGAGCATTTAGGTTGTTTCCACTTTTTGGCTATTGCGAATAGTGCTCCAATGAACACTGGTGTACAAGTCTCTGTTTGAGTCTCTGCTTTCAAGTCTTTTGGGTATATATCTAGAAATGAAATTGCTAGGTCCACCACAATATTTTCCACAACAGCTGTACCATTTTGCATTCCCACCAGCAATGAATAAGGGTTCCAATTTTCCCACATCCTCACCAATATTTGTTAATGATGTTGAGCAAGCAGCATTTTTAAGTTTGTCTATAACTCACTTTATTTTAGATGATGTCCAATTTCATTTAAGTCTTTGGTCTATAGATCCATTATAATTTATGTAATTGGGTTATTTCTTGAAAATCTCTGAAAATGTGTTTTAGTAATACCGTGAACATATATACAAGACAGCTTAAAAGGTGGTTCATTTTCCTGGGGTAGTTACTACATGAAAATATGCTAGTAAAGTTCATATTTAGGTGTATGTGAGTCAGAGCCTAACATAGTGAATATATTGTTTTCTGCCCTAAAATCTACTAAAACTCAACACTGCAAGTACTCAGACTCTGGCCTCTAAAGAAAAATACATCTAAAACACAGGCTTTTGTTTGTTTTGTGATTTTTATATTTAACTGACGATGAATATAGCTGTTACTGACTACGCTTATTCTTTGGGCAAAAGAAACAATTGAATCTTGTTCACATGCTTGAACTTCAAACAGGTCATGGTGATATCTGTTTCTTCCATGATCTGTTTTAAACCATGTCAGAAGACTGAGTCAACTAAGGTATAAAAATAAAAAAGATGACTGGTGCTTTTCTTAGGGTAATGATCATTGTCATCTGAAGAGTGTGGGCTGTGTAAATACAGTTGAGCTACCAATTTGGACCCTTGATTACAGTATGCTGTAGTATATTATTTAAATGATATTTAAAACACATATATCAGCAGTAGATTGAGGGTTTGGCCCAGATAAATTCCCTGTCTCCCAGGAATGGTTTCTACATCATGACGTAGCACAATGTTCAGAAATCTTGACAAAGAACATGTTTGTAAGGAAATAGTCACTGTGCTCTTCATTCGGGAGAATTCACTATGCATTGATGAGGCACGCAATATATGAAGGGCTTCATGATATGTAAGGCATACACAACCAAACTCATTCTTCCGTTTTAGGATAACATAGTCGAACAGATATTCAGATAAATGTCCCCAGCACAGCACATCTAAAACTTCTGGGAAAATATTTTAAAACTTTTTGATACATGGTTGAAGTGGTAGGACATCAAGAGAATTTCACAGAGATTAACAATTACAGGAAATAGCAAATCTGTAAGACTAGGTGGACACTGGACATTTTCTAGGGGTGAGCAACTGATCCCATAGTGCCTGGAGCTGGATTTTAACAAGCCCAGGAATTGCAGGAGACAAAATCTTGGTCCAAGGGGGTGAGAGAAGAATTGTGCATAAAACAGAACGCCTGAGGCACCACCCTCAGTACATTAGCCGTAGAAAAACACACACACACACACCCTACACACAGAGAGACAGAGGGTATATTTGACTTTCTCAGGTTGGGTAATAGGTTGAAATCCCGAACCAAATCCCACTGTTGTCAAGTCAGTTCTGACTCATAGCGACCTTGTAGGGCAGAGTAGAACCACCTCATAGGGTTTCCAAGGCTGTAAATCTTTACAGAAGCAGACTTCCACATCTTTCTCCTGCAGAGCAGCTGGTGGGTTTGAATTGGCCACCTTTCGGTTAGCAGACGAGTGCTGACTTCTGGGCTTCTTTCAGTCCCTCTTAGGTGCCTTCATCTCTAAAAATAGGGTGGTGGGAATTGACTTCATAGGTGGTGATAAATGTAGCATGACCATTGTCACACCCCTCTTCTGCACCCATGGGAGACGTTAGTCATCAGTCAGCACTCTTCCTCTGGGTTCAGTCGCACCTTATAATTCTTCTCAATAGGCTGTTGTACGACACCATTTCTAAACCGCTTGTACTTTGCACTTGAAACTTCTTTTCCATCCTTGGCTCAACGATCTTGGAAGTCCTTTCACTTATAAGATTTCTTTGATCCAGGAACAAAGTTATTATGGCAAGAAATAACAGGAAATGTTTTTCAAAAAAAGTTTTAATTTTCTACTAGTTACATTTTAAAAAATAATGAAAAGATGACAAGAAATGGGGGAAATTAATTTTAATATGTTTTTTAAGTAAAATATTTGAACATGTAATCGATATAAAACAATTATTAATGAGATGTTTTACTTTTTTTTGCATACAAGTCTTTGAAATCTGGGGTGTATTTTGTACTTGTAATACATCCCTTTTTAGGTGGCAGATTTTCTTTGGAAATACTTGGTCTGTATTTAAATGCATAAGTTCAAAAGTATATTCACATCCTTACATTCTTAAGTTTTCCAATAATTGATTTGAGTATTTGTTTTTAAATCAAAATTAAAAATTCAGATGAGGTCTTACTAGCTACATTAAAAGTACTCAATATCCACATATGGCTGGCGGCTACCATATTAGAGAACACAATTTTGGAGAATAGAAATAAACATACAATTTAGTTTTAGCCTTCAAGGGGATTTTCTGATTAGCAAAGCAAGATGTCATTCATAAACATATCAAGAATATAATCCAAAACAGAATGAAATTAAGTGCTAAAAAGTTTGCCTTGGACAGACTGAGTGCTACTTGGATAGGAAGTTCCAGAAACACCCACAGCTTGATACATTCTTCACCACTTTGAAGTCTGAGTGGTGGCAATAACATGTTGGGTTTTCGAGAATGGAGTGTCTTACTTTAGAAAGTGTGTGTGTTCTGCCTGCAGGCATGGGACCCGCTGTGCTGGAGAAGTGGCAGCGGCTGCAAACAACTCTCATTGCACAGTTGGAATTGCTTTCAACGCCAAGATCGGAGGTATGGGAAACAAACTGTGTGGATATAGAAATGAGCCACGAGCTCTCACGCTAACTGGTTTTCAGAAACTGTTTACACTAAAGGCAGGCATATGTTTGCATAATAGTGTTCAACTGTTGTTGACAGCAAAATGACCAATGTTAGCGTGTGTTGTTAAATACAGTCAAAGACGTCTGAAACGGTACCTCTAAAGTGTTACAAGCATAGTCATTTCTTTCTTTAAACAGGCATGAAGAAACGTCTAATAGTGAAGATAGGTTCAATGACATCAACATACAGTTGGTGCTTGGGTCAGGAAGAGCTAATAATATAAACACCAGGCAATAATACCTCTGTGGAAAGAAATTCTGTCAAAGCAGAAACTCCTCTTTTGCTTAGGCTTCACAAAGAGTTCCTTTTACTTGCGGTTAAAAATGTGACATGGTAAAATCTCCCTTTATAGTCCCATAATATAATGATACTCTTTACAATAATTCCAGATTATATATACTTATCCATATATACACATACACTCAAGCATACACGTTTAGTACAAGGACCTAGCCAAAGCAGTGTGAATCCAAGCATTAATAAAAGCAAATGCTAACTATCCCATTTGTAATCATCTTTTGTTAGCAACAGCCTGGTGACAAGCCACACACAAATGGGAAGTAAACATTGTAAGAGATAGTATAGATCATGGTGACATTATCATTGTAGCTGGCCTGGAGGTATCCCCTCGGGGTCTCCTAAAGGATATCCTAAGATCAATGAAGTTCCTGGGACCAGGTGGACCTTTTTATTTTCGATGCAGTATTTGTTTTTCCAAGTGGTAAATCGAGTTGAAAGTAAAGAATAAAAATGACAATCCTTTCTAGGGTAGAGGTATAAATATAGAAGCCCTGTAACATGAAATATTTAGGGTATATAATAATGGTGCTAAGGAAAGGCTTTCTGAGACTACCTTGAAGGTCCGTCCACGGTAAATTCTACCTCTTTCCTTTATTTCACCTTGAATTTTTAGAGTATGGCAGCTTGTTAGCCAGTAATTAGCTATGCTCTGACAACATCTGCTGTGTATCAGGGAAATGCTTGTGGAGGAGCTAAAGGAAAGGACACAAAGGCTTTCCCCTGAAGAATGAGGGTGCTGAAGACCCCTGTCTTCCCAAGAGAAGGAGATGACTCCAGTCGCTGCCCAACCAGCCCTTCTTGCTGCCCAGGACACAGTCTGTCTCACGCACAGAAGCACATTCCATATCCCCATCATTACTCTCCACCCCTCTCTCGCTGACCTTGAGGGAATGAGGGGATGAACTTGTGACCTTACCAGCTAAACCACTGACCCAGCTTAACAGTATCTGAGTGAAAAAAAGGAACGTATGGCAATGACTTGCAAATGTTCTAATGCCCTAAAACAAAAACATTCTGAACTATGCATTTAACCTCTCAAACTCAAAGTCTAAAGGCTTGGCATTAAATGAGAGAAAAGAAGCCGTCATTCAAATTTAAACTGGAAGAATCAAAATGCTTATGTGTGAATTTTCAGTCAGAAATGCTACCCGCTGTATATGATTTTATTAAGCATTTTATCTGTGGACTTCACATAAATAACATAGAAACTGAATTAGGGTGTTGTATAGATAACTCCTGTATATTGGCACTTAGACATATTGGTCACATTATTCGGGGGGACTATCTGGTACAGGGCTTATTTTAGACCTCCCTTTGCAGGTAAAATAGTTCCATTTTATGCTTTTAAATAGTAAGAATATGAAGTAGTGTAACATTCTTCAATATAAAATGTGCAGATGAATTTTGAATATTCAAATCTAATTACAAAAAAAACAAAAACAATGGGCCCAATGCACGCGGGGCATTCTGCTGGGTCCTTTGCTTCTGCAGAGCAAAGTAATGACAAGCCTTCTTAATATAGTTTCCATTCCATAATTTTTAAAGGGCCTTGTTCAGCGATCTTCATTCTCGGCATCACTTGTTAACATGCATCTCCTTTAAAAATCCAAAAAAGTCTAGAGGGAGGAAAGACATTGAAGAGAAGTAACAACCAAATGCAATGTCTTTAGGAACACTTTGGGGGAAAATTTAATGCTGACTGGATATTTGATGATAGTAGGACCTTATTTCCACACTTCTTGGTAAAAATATATTAAAGGATGAAGTGTCATAGTATCTGCAATGTAGTTTAAAATGGTTAACTTAGTATTACATTTTTAGATGAAGAAAATGTGGCAAAATGTTAACAATTGTTGAATACTGGCTATGTCAATGTTCATTGTATTGTTCTATTTTTCTATATGTTTGAAATATTTACAGTTAAAAGTTAAACATAAAAAAAATGAAGATAATATAGTTCTTTCAAGATTATTTTTATTTTCTACCAGAATTCCCACTCCAAATCACATAGTATCTAAAGCTACCTGATTTGGGGTTTTTTCATTTAATTCCCATCTATTGATAACCGATAAAAACTTAAAATCCTGTTGGATAACAAGATTATTCTTAGGAGAAGATATGGGCTGTGAAGATATCATTTTAAAATACTACAATGTCTCGATGGTACTTAGCTTAAGTAGAATTAGAGGCATCTTTCCTTAACAATGAGATGTTTTGTTGTTTTCCTCTATTCATAACAAACATGGATTTTCTTATGCAAGTCTCCAAAATAAAAGGGAAGCACGGCATTTGACATATAATTTATTTCTGAATGTCTTAGTTTCTGTTTTTACAAAACAGGGTTAATACTAAGTTCCTGTCTAACAGTAATGCACTTAAATGAAGATTAATGACTGAACATTACTGAAACCCTTTGAGAGTTATTTAAAGTGTTACTTGCACAGAGAGCATTCTCATTTATTATTTGACCCATAAATAACTTGGCAAAGAAGTACTATACTGCATTCACATCAGTCTTACAGATTATGAGATAATATTAAATATGGGGGAAATTAGACCAGCCTAACTCGGCAGCTTTTCAAATTTTGTAAGACTGCAAAGGTCAGGATGTTTTGTACCAATTATGAACACAAGGTATGTAATGAAAAGAAATTTAGGGAAGATGGATTGCTTGAGGCTCTCTTTGTCAAGTGCTGTCTTGAGAGGGACAAGGGGCAGATGATGGCAACTGCTGTGGGGATTGGAGCCTTGGAAAAAAGAACAATACGTCAAAAAGTTTAAAGATGTTTTGCTCTTTTACATGCAGTGTAACTTCCTTTCTCCCCTAGAAGGCTGCAGCAAGGTCTGTGTTATCCTTTTACTGGGAAAATACGATCATTTAAATGTTAAAATAATGAAATTTGATGCTTTCCCCAAAACATCCTAAAACTGGAAGATGTTGTGGGCTGTTTGTGAGTTATGTAGGGAAACTTCAGTAATCGAGCTCATTCCCCTTTCTGTTTTGAAGGAGTGCGAATGCTGGATGGAGATGTCACGGACATGGTCGAAGCAAAATCAGTTAGCTTCAATCCCCAGCATGTCCACATTTACAGCGCAAGCTGGGGCCCGGATGATGATGGCAAGACCGTGGACGGACCAGCTCCACTCACCCGGCAAGCCTTTGAAAACGGCGTTAGAATGGTAGGCTTTAAAAGCAGCTAGGCCCTATGCTGTATGTTTAGGTGACGATTCTCACATGAAGCCATTCCTGAATCTGTGGATTTCCAATCCTCCCATCTTGGAGGAATGGGTAGATCTCATGTGCTAAGAGGCAGTAAAAGGAAAACCAAAACCAAAACAAAACAAAACAACGTTGCCATTGAGTCCATTCCAACTCATGGCAACCCCGTTTGTTACAAAGTAGAACTGAGATCCATAGGGTTTTCTTGGCTGTAATCTTTATGAATACAGATCCCCAGGACCTTTTTCTGCAGCATTGCTGTGTGGTTTGAAGTTCCAGCCTTTTGGTTAGTAGCCAAGAGGAAATCATTTGCGCCACCCAAACCCAAACCAAACCAAACCCATTACCATCAAGCTGATTCCAACTCATAGTGACCCTATAGGAAAGAGTAGAACTGCCCCACAGGGTAACCAAAGTTGTAAATCTTTATGTAAGCAGACTACCACATCTTTCTCCCATGGCATGGCTGGTGGATTCAAACCGCAAACCTTTTGGTTAGCAGCTGAGCTCTTAACCACCACGTCACCAAGAAAAAGAGGTTTTAAACATTTGGATTGAGTTCTTTTTGTTTGGCAAATGAACTCAAGAGCTAGAGAGTTTCTTCTGAGGAGAACAGAGATGAACTTGGATGCTCAGGTTTGTTCAAAGAAAATATACTAATTAATATGTTGATTTTGCATTTGGAGAAGTAAATTCTTGGGGCTATGAGATTGGGAAGTGGAGATAACAACACTTTCCAGTTGGTGGAGATAGATTATCCAGTAATGCCCTCCTGGGCATCTCCCTTTTGTAATACTTTCCCTAGTCTCACCTCTGTCCCAGGAGAATATTATTCTTATGCTGGCTCCCAGTCTCCCAAACCAGGCAGCTTAACCTATCATCATTGTCTTTGATTTCACTAAAAATTTACTGACCATCCTCCCCCACAAAAAAAAAAGAACTACATAATCTAGTGTAATAATTCAATAAGTAATTATTATATAAATAATTCAATGAAGTTTAATGAAAAGTAAGGGCATTATATACTTGTAATCATGAGAGGAGGAGGCCTCTGCCAAAAGCAATTCCTTTCTTACTTATTTGTATATTGTCCTTTGGGTGACGTAAAGCATATATTTAATCATGTTCATTTAAGGCTGTCGTCAATCTGGCCCTAACCTCTATTTCCTTCCTCGTCTCTTTTTACTCCTTTGTAATGTAAGCATAAGGAGCCCTGGTGATGCAGTGGGTAAGTGCTCAGCTGCTAACTGAAATGTTGGCAGTTCAAACCCACCAGCTGCTCCATGGAGAAAGATGTGGCAGTCTGCTTCCTTAAAGGTTACAGCCTTGGAAACCCTATGGGGCAGCTCTACTCTGTCCTGTAGGGTCACGATGAGTCAGAATCAACTCAACGGCAACAGGTTTGGTTTTGCTAATGTACGTATAGGAGCCCTGGTGGTGCAATGGTTAAGCACGCGTCTGCTAACCAAAAGGTTTGCAGTTACAACCCACCAGTTCGGGAGGAAAGACCTGGCTCTCTGCTTCTGTAACGATTAACAAACCAAACTCATTGCCACTGAGTGGATTTTTACTCATAGCGAGCCTATAGGACAGAGTAGAACTGCCCCATAGAGTTTCCAAGGACATAAATCTTTACAAAGCAGACTGCCACATCTTACTTCTATGAAACGGCTGGTGAATTTGAACCACCGACCTTTCCATTAGCAGCTGAGTGCTTAACCACTGTACCACCAGGGCTCCTTCCAGAAAGATTAGAGCCTAGGAAACCATATGGAACAGTTCTACTCTGTCCCATAGGATCACTAGAAGTTGGAATTGACTCGACAGCACACAACAACAATGTGAGCATACTCCACTCCTTACAATCCATCAATACATGCTGCATCTTGCTGCATTTGTGATTCCCTGCTCTTTCTACAAGGCACTCTGTCCCACCCCCAATCTTACTACTATATGGCCACAGCCTGTCTGACGTTCAAGCCTCAGCTAAAATGTCACCTCTTCCCTGAAACCTTCTCATCGACCAAACCAGAATTAAGTGCAAGCAACCCCTACCCAGTGCTCCCCTTACTTTGTATTTTTATTGGTGTTACATATAGTCTTTATCATTTTGTGCTTTATAGCAGAGTCAGTTCTGGGCGTATCTCCCTCACTAAATTGGAAGTTCGTAGAAAGCAGAGCCTGTGCACTACCCATCCTTATGGGCTTTGCGAAACCTAGACAGTGCGATGAACTCTAGTGAGTCCTCGATAAATGTTTGTTGAATCGAATTTAATTTACTACAAATTATGCTAACCACAGGGTTGTTATATATTCAGCCCAGATTTGGCACAGTGGATTGCATGCAGTTGATTAATGTAGCGTTGCAGCTGGGGTACAAACAATGATTCTCACACCTTCATGGGATTGGTGTTAGGGTTTTAATCAGAAGACTGAGCTAGGGAGTCTCCTAATTATTCTGAAATAGACTGGAGAAGAAAGCTTATGTACTTGCTCTGTAGACACTTCCTAACCAAACCTGCTCTGTCAATTTGCAGCTACATTAGAGCCCTCTTAACCCAGAGGGTAGTGTTTTAAATCATTGCCTAGAATTTTCCTTTCAAGGTCCTCTAACACTAAATGAATGTATTTTGAATAACCTGGTGATTCTGTTTACTGAAGCTCTGGTCTCCAAAATACTATTCTCTCTCTCTATGCCATCAATAAAATGGTAATTCAAATTAAATACACCAAACATCATTTATATTTAATTTCAAATTATATGTGTATGGCTTTTAACATAGTAAAGAATAATTTGAAATTTCTTACTACTATGAATATACTTATATTAATAATGCATACAGTCTCATGAGTACATGTATATATAGAGAATGCCCTGTATTCATTAACTGGTTTTACTAACAGACTGACAGGCATGTCATTGAATCAGTTTTCATGAACCAGTGGTTTTCAACTTTATTTTTGCTGGGGAATCCTTTCTTCAGTGGCAATCTTAACTGGAAGTTAAGTGGGTAAAACAAATGAAGCATGAGGTGCTTTGTTGGAAGGAAGAATTAAAAAGGGTTAAGATTAGAAAGAAGATCACCTAGAAAACTATCAAACGCATAACCAGTAACCAGTTACCATCAAGTTAACTCCGATTCAAGGCAACCCCATGTGTCTCAGAGTAGAACTGTGCTCCACAGGGTTTTCATGGCTGATCTTTAAGAAGTAGATTGCCAGGCCTTTCTTCTCTGATTCCTCTGATGGACTTGAATCTCCAGCCTTTCAGTTAGCAGCCAAGCACGTTAACCATTTATACCACTCAAGGACTCAATTTAAACACTTAGGAAGATTATATTTAGAAATAAGTAATTTGAAAAAATTTTACTCTGTACCCATTATTCATTACAAAAGTAACCCATGCTTAATGTAACAAATCAGTATACAAAAAATATATAAAGATAAAATTAATAATACATTTCTCTCCACTCAGTTTGGTAACCATTGTTCAGAGTGTGGATTGCATATTTTCATACTCTTGTGCACATAAATATGCCAAGCAGGATCATAGAATACCTATGGCTCTGCATGTTGCTGTTTTCACCTAACCGTGTGTCGTGGGCATCCTTCCCAGGGCATCCTTAAAGATAGTACTCATTCATTTTATTGGTTTCAAAATTTAGTGTATGAGGATCCCATAATGTATTCAACATTCCATTGAGGATGTTTCAAGGTTTTACTCTAGCAAAAAAGGAGTTCAATTTTTTTAAACAAACCATTAATTTTTTAGAGTTAAGGTAGTAACAAAGAAGTAGCACTTAAAAAGAGCACATTATTCTCTGGCTCCTAGCATTGCACATCTAGATATGGAAGAGCAATGGTGGCCCATTTGAATGTGAAAAGATCAACAGGATAGTGTTTTTGTGTTTAATATACATAGGCTTTGGAGTTAGGCTAGGGTTGAGTCCAGGATCTGACATTTACTTCTCTCTGACTGTATGCATTACCACTCTGCTTCCATTTCCTCTTCTCAAGTAGGGACAGTAGTAATACTTACTTACAGAGATGTGAGTGTTGAATGAGATAATGTAAAACAATTGCACAGCACCTGGAACTTAATATGTGCCCTATAAATATATTTTATATTTCCATTACTTTTTGTTTTCAGAGAAGAGTTTTTGTCCTTCAGAAAAAACTATTTACCTTTGTCCTCAGCCCCTATCCTTTTCTCTTATATCATTTCCACACTGTTGAGTTCTAGGTGGTTCCATTGAATTACTTGTTGTGGTATATTAAAAATAATATGGTGAAAGTCAATATAGACTTTCTGAATTCTGCAGTGTCACTTTGTTCTATGTATATATATATATATATATACCTTCAATTTTACTTGCCCTTAAAAGCACATCTTCAATTTCACTGAGATAACCTCTGGATATACAAATTCATTTCAGTTATTCAAGTTTGTAGTCTTGAATTTAGTTTATATTTTCCCAAGGGATATTTCTCTAAATATCTATGAATATATAGCTTAATATTTTAAGCAGTAAATTAGGTTTTTCTAGGAAATAAAAAACCTTTCTACTGTCTACTCTGTTATCAGACAACACTTAAGACAGTAAATTTTATTTCCTTTGAGATTTGGCACAGTGGTTAAGAGCTACGGCTGCTAACCAAAAAGGTCAGCATTTCGAATCCACCAGCCACTCCTTGGAAACCCTATGGGGCAGTTCTACTCTGTCCCATAGGGTCTCTATGAGTTGGAGTCAACTCGACGGCAACAGGTTTTTTTTTTTTTTGAGATTATGCTAATTTATATACTTTAATATACATCTTATCAAATATATTGAAAATAATTAGATAAATTCTTTATACAAAGTTAGATTATAGAGCACAGTAAAGAAATAAATGTGTGTTGAATAAATGAGTGTCTGAGTGGTTGAAGGAATGAAGAAATAAATGACTAATCAAATAATTC